GCACATCCATTTTGATAGTATGACAATCTGTGGTGTAATCAAGTGTTGCATATAATTACATATAATAACATTACAACACATTATCTCACATTTGAATCACATTTTGCAATATTAAGACCACAGTTGAAGGGATGACTGGTTTTGTGACGTGCGGACCAAATGAGGCACTTGTGGTGTCAGGTATGCCATGATTGCTATAATTGGCATAATGTGAGCATTGATTGGTTGTATAATACTTGTATTGGTTGTAATGATGGGTAGGTTGTTGTCATCGGCGGCCACTGATGGTGCCGGGAGGCCGAGTGTTCGTGTGGCCCGTTGTCCAGAAGGTGCAAAGGTTTGTACAGTGAATGTGTGACACTGTGGACAGTGACTGATGGTGTATGGGTTGTGTTGGTTGTATGGGTTGTAGGATAACGTTGAATACGATGACGTTGACCATAGAGTCGCCGCGAGTGTATACCCAACAGGGAGTGCCGATAAGCGTGACGGGCATCGCTCAGGTGAAGATTCAGGGCCAGAACGCAGACATGTTGAGAGCCGCGTGCGAGCAGTTTCTCGGCAAGTCTGAGGACGAGATCATGAATGTGGCGCGAGAGACACTCGAAGGCCATCAGAGGGCTATCATGGCCTCCATGACTGTCGAAGAGATCTATAAGAATAGGAAGAAGTTCTCGAAGAAGGTGTTCGAAGTGGCGTCCAGTGATTTGGTGGACATGGGATTCACAGTCGTGTCGTATACTATCAAAGACATCAGCGACGAAGAGGGATATCTGAAGGCTCTGGGATTGGCGCGAACTGCAGAAGTGAAGCGCGACGCCCGCATCGGTGAAGCCGAAGCCAAAAGGGATGCACTCATTAAGGAGGCGTTGGCTGAGGAGGAAAGGATGGCCGCGCGGTATGTGAACGACGCTGAGATCGCCAAAGCGCAGCGCGATTTTGAACTCAAGAAAGCGGCCTATGATGTAGAGGTGTTCTCCAAGAAGGCCGAGTCCGACCTGTCCTACAATCTACAGGCGGCCAAAACACGCCAACGCATCAAAGATGAACAAATGCAGGTCAGACTCAGTGCGCGCACTCAACACGCACTCCTGTCACCCCTGCACTGACAGTGATTGTACTGATTGTACTAATACTAGTAATTGTGTTATTGATTGTTAGGTGAAAGTAGTGGAGCGGACACAAGAGATTCAGGTTCAGGAACAGGAGATAATCCGCAAAGAGAAGGAATTGGAGGCCACTGTCCGCAAACCGGCCGAAGCGGAGAAATTCAAGTTAGAGAAGTTGGCCGAAGCGCACAGGAATAAGGTTATTATGGAGGCAGAGGCCGAAGCACAGGCTCTCAGACTCAGAGGAGAGGCCGAGGCCTTTGCTATTGAGGAGAAGGCCAAAGCAGAGGCCGAAATGATGGCTAAAAAGGCCAACGCATACAAGGAATACGAAGCGGCGGCTAAAGTGGATATGGTTTTGGATTCTCTGCCTAAGGTTTGACTATATTATTATTTTATTGATTAATTGTTTTGACTTATATTTCGTTTTACTTATAACCGATTAGATTGCGGCAGAAGTGGCCGCACCGTTAGCTCAATGCAATCGAGTTGTTATGATAAGCAATGGTAACAGTGAAGTGGGCGCCAGTAAACTGACCGGAGAAGTGCTCGATATCATTACTAAAGTGCATCTGACTGTCTCTCAACTCACGGGAGGCACTCCTTTGCCTAACGTAAGTGGACCTAACAATCAATAACACAATTACTAGTATTAGTACAATCAGTACAATCACTGTCAGTGCAGGGGTGACAGGAGTGCGTGTTGAGTGCGCGCACTGAGTCTGACCTGCATTTGTTCATCTTTGATGTGTAACAGTGAAGTGGGCGCCAGTAAACTGACCGGAGAAGTGCTCGATATCATTACTAAAGTGCATCTGACTGTCTCTCAACTCACGGGAGGCACTCCTTTGCCTAACGTAAGTGGACCTAACAATCATCGCTCCTCTGCTACTCTTGTCAACCCCTAACCATTTAATCACATTTTCCTACTTTAATCCCATTATATGAGTCTCAAAGAATGAACACATTTTTATTATACAACTTATTTTATATTATTTGTTATTTCCTGTATTAAGAATGTTTGACATATTATGTTTTATTTTATTTAATTAAGATATTATTATTATGTTTTAATAAATTTTTATTTATTTATCTGATTTTTAATTGGACTGCTTTTTATCAATTTTTAAAATGATTTAACATTAATTATTATTTATTTGAATGATGTTTGAATATAATATACAATAAGCCATTACATGTATTATGCCACAAAAATAGTAGAATGTGAATACTGTATAATATATGATTTGGTTGTTCCCATAGACACCCGCATCGTTGCTCACCGGGAAGCCCGTGGCTTCAAAGTAGGAGCTCTTTCACTACTCATATAATAAGTTATTCTTTGTATTAGAGCTGAAAGAATACTAATTCCTATAATAATTCTTATGACTTATAATCGGTAACTAAAGCTATTTTCATCCATTGAATAACCAATCGTCAACTGCCGGTTCTTTTCGCCTCAAGTCGTGACAAAACTTACTAATCAAGTGGTCTTTCACTCGCGAACAACATTTGGTCACTTAATCCAATTCATCCTTATTTGTATTTTTAAAACATTTTTATGCTTAACTCTCACTAACTTTCAAATATATACATAAATAGCTATAATTTGAGAATTGCTTGTTTGCTTTTATATTAAGTGATTTGAAAATACTATAACTGGTACACAACTACGGTATTACCGTATAAATGAACTATGAATGAGTTATACACAAGATTGTGCTGAGAAACACATCACACAATAATAGCGTACTAAAAGTTATTACAATTAAATATAAGTCTAAATGCCGTGTAAATGATTTTATTTATTTATCAAATATTTAAACCATGTATTCATTTAATTATATTCAATTCATATTTTATTAAATTCTTATTACCAAGATCAAATACTGTGTCTTATTAAATAGCATTATTTGGAGCCACAACGGAACACAATGTGCATCATTAATGTGCATCCAAATGGAGTTATGCACCTTTCCAATCATTGCTGTATTTGAATTAATACAACTCCCTTATATAAAATTACCTTATATAAAAGATATATGAATGCTTGTAAATGACAACTTGTAATTGTCAAATGTACCTGGTAATATGTTTAGTGTATGCACAGTACAGTGCAGTATATCTAGTGATGTTATTTTACACGTAATATTCATTTCAATCTTACGTTACATGTAATATTACGTAATTTACCGTCAGATTCCGTAAAATTCAATTTATAACTAAATAATTAATAAATAACTATTAGTATTAATTGGCTATTAGTTAACGATAAATTACATTCAATTCCATTCAAACACATGAAATATTAATTATATCTTAAAAATTGTTATCCGAGTCCTAAAAATTAAATTTTGTCTTAATTAAAGCATTAGTTGGCAAAATAAAACGTAAGAGTATGTTGTAAGTTACATGTAAGATTCAAATTTTGCTGTAATTTACGTGTAATTTACTGTAAATTACGTCTGTAAGATATGTAAGTTACATTCGTGACAACACTAACCATATCGACCATGATTAAAAAGGCAACTTTTAACAACTATTTCAAAATATTATTGTAAAAAACAGCATTAACTGTACTAAAGCTTGATGTCGTGTGAAATGGTATATCCAGTTATTATGTCAC